TTGTCTGCGTATATGAGGTTATGGAAATGGCGAAACAAATGATCTGGTCGTGATATAAACCTCAAATTATTTTTTCTATTTAGACGCTTTTAGAGACTGTCGTCATCGTATGTTTTTGACTAGCTTTCGTCAAAATCTTCTAATAACGTCGCAATGTGACGTATAGACATGTTATGGAGTATTTACGTATTTATATATTGGATAATGTAATAAATTGACTGTCTTTGGTCTGGTGGTCGTAAGCGGAATGCTGGTTATGCGGCGCAGGGTTCAAATGCCTGGTTGGGCTAAAGTCAGTTTAGTTTTATTTAAATGTAAATGTCTGTCAAGAAATTGTCTGTAGCAGTTCTATGTTTCACCCCCGTGCTTCGAAAAACACCTAAAGGCGTTGGTCCTTCGCCTAATCTCTCTCCAGACGTGTCGAATGGCCGTCCCATCGGAGTTTCAGAATGAGGAAATAGAGTGCACGTGTGCTTGTGCACACACTCAGGGATTATAATTCTGTCCTGCATTTATGGCTAGTTTTTGTTGGGACTGGCCACCGTGACCGAAATTCGGTCTGGAGGACATTCATTAAAAAAACTTTCGAAGTATTTATTATTTTCACTGAAGGATTGGTCAGTGCCACAATTAATTTAAAAAAGGTGTAGATTCTTCTCCTAAAGGTCATCATTAGTCATATAAATTCGGTATCACTGTGATTATGCGAGGTAGAAACCTCAAGAGACTTAACGTTAACAGGAACAATTTTCGTGTTTAATAGTCCAAGAAATAAAAAACCCACGAGGTGTAAAAGGAGTGTTATAAGACAATTGGTGGTAACACCGATTTGTTCAACGCGATTTAAATTGAGGCGGCCTTGTCCGGTGCGGTTGATGTCACTCAGTTATATATAGCATTAGTTTAGTTAACGGCTTCATATTTGTATTCTGGATATTTTTTTTAAATAAGGGTGACAAATGACCACACCTGATGACAAGTGTATACTGTAGTTATATCCACATCTATCCTCGATTAAGAATCAAAATGCGTTGTCTGTCAACTCTAAGGACTAAGATAGAATTTCGCATCTTCGCAGTGAAAAGGCTATCCGGTCCTCTCCACTCGTACTCTCTGTACGAAACATAACGACATTAAGCTGCTGGTGTTGTCAAAGCATGGTCATTCCGGACGAGCCGACGCATACGTACTACAAGATTTTTCATTAAGTTTTTGGAAACGCAATGAAACTCTAGGATAGTTTTTTAAGCTAATGCACCTTGAATAGCGTTTTGCAAGTTGATTTATTCCCTTTGAAAAAAAAAACCAGCTTAATCTTGGGGACTTGGAAAGGTCTCTGCAGCACACATCACCTCATCGTCTTTTTCAAATTTTATTCGACGCAAGTGCTTTTTCAAGTGAGTGAAAAAGTGAAAATCACTCGGAGCCAGGTCCGGAGAATACCAATACCATAACGGAGAATATCACTGCATGAACTGAAACCCTTTAGATGACAGTGCCTGCAACATCAGATCGATGGACAATGGCATTATCATGATGAAAATGTACTTACTCGAGCACGCAATTTACTTCGACGTTTATTCCTTAGTTCTTCGCGTAGTTTTTTGATTGATGATGGCGTAGTAATCTCTGCTTATTATCTCTACTTTACATTTAGTCCATCATTACTATACCTTCAGCATCCCAGAAGACAGAGGATATTATTTTTCTAGCGGACGCAGACATCTTGAATCTTTTTTCTGGCGTGGAAGACGGCTTTTGTTTTTCGCCTCCGGTTCATAATGGTGTGTACCCGTGTTTCATCTACAGTTACGAAATGAGCGTAAAAAGAATCTGGATCTTCTTCAATTATTGCTTAGTTAGCTTTGAAATGTCAACTCTTGCTTTCTTTTGGGCATCTGTTAGTTATTTTCATTTTTTTCATCATTTTTTTGAAATGTCAACTCTTGCTTTCTTTTGGGCATTAGTTAGTTGTTATTCGAGGACACCAGCGCGCTGCCACCTTTTTGAATTTTAAGGTATTTGTTATACATTAAAAAAATTAGGTAGGTACAGTTTTTTATTTAGTTTTTTTCTGGCCTTGGCTATTAACGAATTTAAGATTTGAACAATAATAGAACGCATTTGCGCCTTTTTCGTAAACTTCTTGATCAACCTAGTACAACCGTATTATAGCTGCGGCATGGCTCTACCACGAATAAAAAAGTATACAAAATATGTTATATGTAGGATATACTTAAGATGCTTCTAGATTTAACCGTTAACCTCTCCATCACTTTCCAAATAATTCCATAAATTTCGCTGACGTCGTCTGGCGCTGGACAAGTTGACAAATAATGTTTTTATGTTGTTTGTCTAGACTTCGCTCCTGGAGGGGTCGCACCCTCTTGTGCGTGATGTCATCGAAATATTTCTCCATATTAAATTTTATCTGATAATTTATGATAGTTATATATTTGGCCAATGGGTATCATGTATGCAATATACACATATTTGAATGTATTATTTCTGGCTTTGTTCTTTGTTCGAATAATAACTGCGTGACTTAGTTATTTAAAAAGTACGCGAACAACTCGGGTACAATCTTCGCCTGCACCATTGAAATTGTTAAAAAGTAATAAGATAAGACCCGCAGAATAAAATAAAATGATGTGCACTACCCAGTTTGAACAGCACCTCCCGCCTGCCCTCAATCGCTTGTACTATCCCCGTTACCACTAATGTCAGCACCACAACTCCCAACACCACTACACTAGAAAAAATACACCACTGTCGATAATACGACACGTGTTTCGACTCTAAACGAGGGACCCTTAAATGAAGAAGCCTCTGTGGTGCCTGATTGCTAAGTAATTTAAAGCGCTAATTCACCGCGTGTTCCCCGTTCAAAGAAAAAATAGAAAAGAAATCTGCATGTCCAAGAAATTAAAAAAAAATTTCAAAGATATCTGAAATTAAAAAACACATTGGGGCAGTGCGGTGGATACTCCCTTGTCCTAAAACCCCTGTGGTGGTGGGTGGGACGTTTACATACCGTTTTTGAAATGAATAGAAGTGTTCTGCCCGGGGAACGGCCAACGCACCGTGTGATAGTTCGGAGCTATTGTATAGTGTGTCCGGTCACGGACTAGCGATATTCTAGGTAATTATAATACTGCTATTTTAATACGAAAATACACTACACACTGAGGTCTAATCCCCTCCCCTTCTACGTGGCGGCCATTTGGTTTTTTTCTAGAAATATTCTCTACGTGTTTACAAAAAAAATCATATCTCTCAATGTTTTGGTTTTACTCACATAAAAATTGGCTCATTCGGAGGGCAACAACGGGTCTATCGTTTATGTTACCAAAAAATTGTTCACATGCTCGTATCGTATCTTTAAAGAAAAAAATTAACTTCAAATAAATATCAAAAAATTATGCTTATCGGCTAATTATTGTAAATAACTGCAAAAACAACCTCGTTTACCCTGTTTATTTTTTTGTTTAGTGACAACTCAAAGGCCTTTTGTGTTTGCGCATACGCTATGTTCAAACATTATAATTCTTAAAATAATAAACATACAGCTCTAAACTTTATGTTGTATTGTAGCTTAACATAAAATCTGTCGATCTAGTAAAAAAATAAACAGGATAAACGAGGTTGTTTTTGCAGTAATTTACAGTAATTAGCCGATTAGCATAATTTTTTGATATTTATTTGAAGTTAATTTTTTTTTCTTCAAAAACACGAGTATGAGAACAATTTTTTTGGTAACGTAAACGATAGACAATATTGTTACCCTCCGAATGAGCCAATTTTTATCGCAGTAAGACCAAAACTTTGAGAGATATGAATTTTTTGTAAACACGTAGAGAATATTTCCAGAAAAAAAAAAACAAATGGCCGCCACATATAGGGGGAGGGGATTAGACCTCAGTGTGTAGTGTATTTTTGTATTAAAATAGCTGTATTATAAGTACCTAGAATATCACTAGTCCGTGATTTATTTTGCGCCCGAAGTTATTAAAGGGCTACTCTATATGTAGGGAGGCGGAAAATGCATTACGCATACCAGCTAGTCCGTGACCGGACACACTGTATATATACTGTTTTGATTCGGAACTTTGATAGCGCGATTTAGGCTTCGATGTGTTTCGCTTGTGGTGCGACGACAGCGTAGCCACACTTCTTAAGAATCGTTGTTATTTCAAATTCGATAACGCGACGCTAAAAAGAGACAAACATATACATACATCCATACATTTGGTATAAACTAACGTCAGAATAGATAGGTATTGCAAAAGAGAAAGAGCATAATGTGCGCGTATGTTAGATTGAGAAAGATAGGCTAGACCATTCACGTACTCGCTATCGGGCTATATCGGGCTGATGTCATTAATGAACAAAAATTCCGCTTGTATTTACGAAATCTGAGGTTTCAAAATGAAAATTTATGTTAATTAGTCGTAATTAATTATAACTAGTTGTGAGTACTTAAATATAATTAATCTCAGAAAGAAATCCCACATTGTAATACATTTAACCCGTAGGAACCAATTGAAATGTTTAGCTGTCTAAATGCTGTGTTTTAGAGTAGTTTAAAACAATATGTACTTACTTAAATGGACAGAAAAAATTATCAAATATTATGATAATAGTCAATCATCAAATGTAAAGCAATTGAATTTAAAATAGTTACAAATACGTGAAATTCTGTTAATCTGAACTTTACTTTTGTAGAGATTGACATTATCGATATATCTTATTGAAATGCACTTAACAGGCTAAAGTACGTAATTCTTGAAGCCTTATTTAACTTATATTTTTTAAGGTTCCGTACTGAGGATAGCGTAGCGTAGGATAGGGTGACATACGAGCACACAGTCCACCTGATGGTAAGTGGTTGCTGTGGTCCTTTCACTTCTTTTTTTTCTTTGTTTTTTAGGGTGCGAACTTATGCGAGCGGGGCAGATCGCTAGATAACAATAAATAACAAATTTCTTTTGCTCAAGCAGAAGGAAAAACGAACGAGTTTCGGGAGCTAAGAACGCCCAACTCCATTGCGTCAATAGCCAGAGCCCGCGCCAGCCAAACACTCCCCAGCTTCTTCGGGTAAATTTTTTCAGCCATAACCATTACATCAATACGCTCAGTATGCTTATCTAATTTCAAGCTTGTGTTCATTTATCCAACATTTTTTTCGATTGGATTAGATTTTCAGATTTAGAATTTTCGTGTACCTTACACACTTTTACTGTCTGGTTTTCCGACACAATAGTAAGACGTAATAGGTTAAGATGGTAGCCAACACCTGTAGTACAACAGATTTTATCTAGTTTAGGTATCGCCTGTATTGTACAAAGGCTTTTTATTTCTGCACGACCTTTGCTATATAGCGATGTCTTCATGTAACCTTTAAGTGCAACTTTGTAAGTGGGCGTTTTAAATAAATTAACTATTATTATTATTATATAAAAACTTTTGTCAATCCACAATCGTTAGTTTAGTATTTGTCGAATATGTGCGTATCCTGTTGTAGTAGGACCATTAATTTGACTTCATAGCCGCACTTGGCATGTATATAGACTGTATTTTACGAATGGTGTAAACGAGGTACCTAGATATACCGCGATCTTTCGGAAACCATATTATTTTTCTAACATAGTCGCCTCTCGCCTCTTACGACAACCCAGAACGAAATAACATGGTATACATACATTTTATTTATATATATTTATTGCACACACGACACCAAAAAATTAAATTAAATACTGGCAATGTTGTAGCAATGTTCCCTTTAAACGCTCCTGGTAAGCTAAAATGCTTGTCTTAAAAGTGATGAAATTATATTACGCTGCCACAGAGTTACACCGTTACTATTACTAGTGAAGTCCACTGCTGAATGGACATTGTCATAGGAGGAATATTGCCATAGTTGTAACGCTTGGCAGGCGGGTCTTAAACCCGCAGTTTTTTATTTTTAGTCGTTATTGGAGAGAGAGCTGCTGCCCATCTCCTGCCTGTCTCCCTCTGTCGCCTCTTACGACACCCACGGTATGATATGGGGTAGTGGATAGACTTACACCGATACCACACTCCTGTAATCTACTCAATACTTTTTCCTTTCAATTTCATTCTTTTTTGCAGATCTTAGAAGAGACGATACAAAAGAAATTGCCGAGGCCGGCAAACCCTAAACCGTTATCTAGTAGAGACTTGGAAAAGTTCCGCATGACCTTCAATATAACGGAGAAGACGGTGGAGAATCTATTCCAGTACCGCACGAAGTTCGTCCAGCATATGCTGTCAAGTGCCATGTACGCTAACAGTGCTGTGGAGAAACCATGGGAGATGGTTAACAGGTAAAGTCTAAGCGAAGTACTGGAATAGAAGAATCTGATGAGACGAGCAAAAAAGAGAGTAATGCAGGTTGCTCAGGATCGGCTTTATTGCATACTTTTGGGAGTCCAATTTTCAGCAGTGGATGAAAAATGTCGCACTTTAACTAACGCACTTTAACTTTGAATTGATGATAATTAAAGTATACTTTATAATTGTCAGCGTATTTTGTACGTAATAAAGCCATGCTGCAACTATTTTATGTGTGGCCGTGGAAGGAAAAGGGGAGATCTCCCGCCGGGCAAGGAGTTCTGCCCGGGGAGCGGCCGACACTCTGAGTGATAGTTCGGAGAAGTTCTATATATACTGTCTATGATTCGGGATGTTAATAGCGCGATTTAGGCTTCGGTGTGTTTCGGTGTGCTAGTGGCGCGACGACAGCGCCGCTACATCACCCCCTGCTCAGACCGGAGGTCGATAGTGCAGCCTCGTTGCTGACGAATGTGCAAGTGGCAGGAGATTGCCTTGTAATCTGCGGTGAGTCGAGAAGAAGGCAAGTAATCTGCGAGAGTGCCGTGAAGCAGAGGCGAGCAGTAAGGCTCAGAGCCGTGCTGAACACTGTAGCGCAGAGTGTAGCTTGAAAGAACAGGAAGCATTATTATTCCAGTGCTGCGATGAACCTTGTGAAGCTAGATAGCTTGCAGGATATGAAGACTGCAGACGATATCTACTCGGGAGCGAATGGGTGGGGTATTTTATGACGATGATGAAGTTTCCGAAGGTTGTTTTGTTTGCATGTTCAAATCACGTCGGGGTCACCACTGTGGCCGTGGAAGGAAAAGGGGAGATCTCCCGCCGGGCAAGGTGTTCTGCCCGGGGAGAGCGGCCGACACTCCGAGTGATAGTTCGGAGAAGTTCTATATATACTGTCTATAATTCGGAATGTTAATAGCGCGATTTAAGCTTCGGTGTGTTTCGGTGTGCTAGTGGCGCGACGACAGCGCCGCTACATATGTAAGTAGATCGAATGTGTTGACTCGACCGGGAAAAGACCATGGTTTAACGGAATATCAGCGTGAAATAGCAGCTTAATATTGCTGTGTTTCGTATGGTGAGTGTAGAGAACAGTAGATCCTTATTTCTACTAGAACCTCTCATACGTTGTTCTACTGGAAACTAGGTATTCCATCTTAGTCTTATATGATTAGAATTCGAAGGCCATCGTGTCCCTTTTTATCATCATGACCATTATCTACCTAGACATTTTCTACCTAGGAGTATGTCTGGACTCTTACCTTTTTGTGCCGCCAAATAGTAGTGCTTGCTCTGTTATGTTCCAATATGAAGGGTATAGAGAGCCAGTGTAATAAAGGTTGAGGCTTTCCATCTTCGCCCTCAGACGTGCAACCTACCTGCAGTCTTATTTGTTTGAAGTTGGTTACAGGTGTCAATGAACTGCAGTAGCCACTTACTATCAGGTGGTTTGTCACTTCAGTTTAAAGCATTAGTATTGTTTAAAACCACTTATACGGATTTTATCGCGTTTAACTTATTTTCGATACCTGACGTTACGGGTGCTTTACAGCACCCATTGTCACGGGGGGAGGGACTGAGATGTTTAACGTCCCAATGGCATAGTTAGCCCGGCTACATTCAGTTTTAATTTTAAGTCCGATCTACGCAGAATGAGCTTACACTATCTTGAAGTATTGCAGTGATATATTTGGTTTTGGATTTAATTTTGTTATTTATAGGATCCTAAGCAGATGGTAGCACCCATCCATCTTCTCAATTGTGAATTAGGATGTTTTTTAAATTTCAATAGTCTCGCGTATCATTCTTGGTAGGAACCAGCACCGATTCTTACCAAGGATTAGTATACCACATCAAGAATTCAAGATACTGTAAGCTCGTTCTGCGTAAATCAGACCAAAAATAATATTCGATAACTGAAGGTAGCCGGGCTAATTATGACATTGGGACGTCAAACATCTCAGTCCCCTCTGTGACCATGGGTGCTGTAAAGCACCCGAAACATCAGGAATTAAAAGTAAGTTAATTAAACGCGATAAAATACGTATAAGTGGTTATATTCAATATGTAGCGTTCGCGTAGATTTAAGATATCATTATTACTATTGTTATCATAGCTGGGCACAGATTCTTAAACATGAAACCCAAACTTTCAGTGTATCGGAACAAATCATTGACGAACTCCTGCTATCGTGCGCGAAAGAGATGGAGCTACAGCAAGTTGTTCAACAGCTTTACAAGTGTGAGACGCAATGAATCTAATATTAAATATTGTTTAAAAAATTCGCCTATATTTTATTTATATAAATTATTGTGTACTTTTTCTTAATACAAATTTTCTTTTTACTAACGATATTTTTAATGTGTTTTCTTCTTTCTCTTCCTCCGTTTTCTTCTGCTCTTCATATTTATTAGCCTTTATCAACCCACTACTAGATATAGATCTCTTTAAATTGAAAAAAATTACATACAACCTTAAAATATTTTTTCATACCAACCTTAATAAATAAGTAAAATAGCCGTTTGTTCATCATTAATTACACTTAGTAATTTTGTTACAAAATCAATTTAATACATTTGAAGTATATATACTTAATTGATTTTATGGAGCTACAATATTTGTATGAGCAGTAAAAGTCCGAGATAAAACTGGATCATAAGGTACCACCCATCGGTTGTCTAGGGTTACACCATTGATGTCAACCGTGAAACCACCGACTATGGGACATCTTTGCCTGTATTAAGGGTAACCATCATCACCTGTGCGAGTTTCAGTGCAGAAGTACATTGAATTGGAAATTTAATTTTTTATTTAATTTGCTTTTATTTAGATAATTTAATTTTTATATAAAACTATTTGACGTGTTAATTTCACAAATTAATATTATTAGTATTTTCTTTGACAATTTTTTACATAAGCTTAATTTTAATAACCAATTTAGATACAATCAATTTTATTTTTAGTACTTATTTATTATTGTAAGTCACTCATTAAATTTTGAGATGCTAGAAATTTAAAAATGGAACGCACCCGTGTTATATGTTTGTAAAAAACAATATTATTTAAAAATAGAACTCCATAAGCCAATTGCTCAATATTAAAAAAAAAAACAAGGTTCTATTAATTTTCATGCCACGCTTCCCGCCCTTTTCATTTAAAACGTTGGATCTTAACCGTGAACATTTCGCGCTATGATCTATTATGATTTTAAATTTGGTTTAACGGAACAATTAAGTTTACATCGGTTACAATTAGCATTAAGAGACTTAGCTCCATCACGCGCAACAATTTTTTGTTGGTTTGCTGGATTCAAAAGGGGTAAAATTAACCTTAAAGATGACCCGGGACCCGGGGTCCCGCAAACAGCAGTAACGGCAGAAAATATATGGACTACTGAAATGTTGGTGCGAGAAGACACGAATCACATATACGGACATCGAAAAGATTGTAGGCTTCAGTTCGGGGAGCATTCATACCATCCTACATCAACATCTTGGAGTGAGGAAGCTTTGTTGTCAAAAAACTCGTGTGGGTTGGTGCCATGAAATGCGTCTAACTTTTGAAAACGGGGCATCAAGGCGTATTTCAGAAATTGTATATAAAAGGCAATCATCGGTATGGGTCTCAGAAGAACAGTTACCGACAAAACTGCAAAGACCTCGTAACCATACAAAATGTCTGTGCCGATTTGAAGCGCCACGATTTGCCGTCCTGGGAACTAAAATTGACATAATATGCCAAAATCTGTTGTATTTAAATCTTATCTCTGTATTTTGAACCTTTAAACTAAAAAACTAAAGTATTTTATGCGGTTTGATTGTGTATAATTTTAGTAGATTGTGTATAATAAGAATTATTTTTAATGATAATGAGAGTGTACATAATATGTAAAACTCGTTACCAAATGGAAAGTGGTATAACATTGCACTTAAACAAATTAAAACTATTTGATAATATAGGTACTTAGATCGGACCATAAAAAAAGCTGAAGTTACTCCGAGTTAACACTCGGAACGTCAGTCATCTCAGTCCCCCGTGACCATGGGTGCTGGAAAGCACCCGAAACATCGGGAACTAAAAATCATGTAAATTAAACGCGATAAAATCTGTAAAAGTAGTTTTAATCAATGTGTAGTGTTCGCGTAAATATAATAAATAATATTTTGATTTTTCAATGAAGTATGCTCTTCTGGGGATGTGGACTGATTTAATGTATTATTGGGTTGATATGTGATGTTTGTCTGTTCTTGTTTCTTTTTTAATAATACTTACCAACCTTATATAATCAATATTTCTTGGACCGAAAGTATTATTACGTAAATATTCATTAAACATCAAATTTCTCATGTAGTCAAGAGTCTCTGATTCTCTTTCACCATGGGCCACTTCCATTGCGGAGTTTTTGCCTTAATCACTACGTTCAGAAGACGAACGGACAATCGCAGTTCTAGACTTGTCGCACCTTTGATGCTGTTCCCCGTCACCGGTATGTCTATTTTACATCTGAAGTAAACGAAATGTTTATACCGCCATCGATTGAGAGCCATTAGTTATTTTTTGATAAGATTCCACAGTCACGTCTTACAATACCCACGGGATCAAATGGAGTGATGACTTCGTTAACGTCGCCACCGTAATTCAGTAAACAGTAATGCTTACAAAAGCCTCTGTTATATTAGTTGAAATTTGCCGTATTCGACACGCTTGGCAGTTGGCGTTTACAGTACCAGATGTATTACATCTTCGATGCCACTTCCTATCGTCAGCTCAAGTATTTCACATCTGGCATATGTAAAATCAGTATTCCGCGAATTAGATAAACAGAAATTTTGAAAATTGTTACAGATAATCCGTAATCCGCAATTGAAGTGTCCTAATATTAGCTCTTGGTGTTTTTTTTATTATATTACATATTGTAGTCTCTTCAAACGAAGAGTGATGAAGATTCCCAACTATTTCAGTTATTAATTAATTAGTTGCACTTTGATTAAAATAAAACTTCGCATTTCCCTAAATTGGTTTATAATAGATTTGTTAGAAACGAAATTAAATCTTACGCCTAAAATTCGTTTCGACAAATACATAACTGTATATTACAAATTCACAATATCAACTCAGACACACCATCATATTGTCATAAATAAGGCACTTAACTTTACACGACTAGGGCCAAACGTTTGATCAAGGCAGACAAGCCTGCTAAACGAAACCTGCATCACTATTTTAATGTTCATATCAACACGAGTTTACACTTCATCGCCCTTATTTAAACTTAATCGAAATGAATTTAATACTTCATTGAATTTTGCTTTTTGGCGCTTTAGTGTATCTGTTTTTTCCACCTTTGGAATTTTCGATATACTTTCTAAACTAGAAGTATCCGTTTGGTATGACTCCTCAGGTGTAGGAGGATTGGATTGCATGCCACGAGGTTTTAAGAGCCGAGGCCCGCCTGTGGCAAAAATATTCTCTAATTTTGATTTCAAATCTTCTCGACTTAAGCTATTATCTCCATCTTCTTCTGTATCCGGTTCTGTATTGTTATTTTCTTCTGTACTTATGTGTCGCAGATTTTTCGCCGTTTCCATTGACGATATCTCCTTTTTCAAGTCTAAAAACATTTGCGACCTTTCCTTGTTTAAGGGGTACTCTGTACTATCTGACAGATTTCCCGCCGAATGCGACCTCTTCCGCTGTTCTTCGTCATCATTTGTCGATGAGATTTTCGTTTGGAATATGTTATTCAACTTGGACATAAAATTCATTTGCTTGTCGCTACCAAACACCATAGGTCCATCATCATATGAACTGTTAGATTGAATACTCTTTCTTGGCTGTCTGTCTGAATCAGGTTCGATTATAACTGATTTTGACGGCCTTGAAGGTACTGTATAAGATTTCTTAAAAGATGGACTTGTAAAAAAGTTTTCATCAAAGGGTGGCGGTACTGGTATTATTGGTGTTTGATTTCTATTGTTTTCTACAGATTCATTATAAGTAGTTTTATCTAAAGTATCTGAATATCCAGATTCGTCCGTATGAGAATTCGTTTCGCTGTCGTTAAATGCTGTCATCTCTTCTTGGTCTTCTACTTGATTTGTATCATTTTCATCCTCTCTATCTGGTTTTTCTTCTTCTTCTGAGACCTTGGCTAAATCTTCTCTATGCACTTGCGCTATAACATCATATTTAGATAATGCTTGATTACCTAAAGATGCGTCCGATCCAGCGTCAGACAATTCACTTAACGATTTTCTGTCTAAAACAGTTGGCGTGGCTTCATCCTTTTCCTCCTCTGTTTGTTCTTTTAGACTAATAATTTCTCCATAAGAGTCTTCTTCCGCTTGTAGCACTTGGTCCAATAAATCTATAATTTTCGCTTCCTTCTCTTCATTATCTTCTACAATTGCTTGTTGTACAATTACCTCTTCCGTAATGAATTGTATGTTATTTCTGACGGCTCTCTGCTGTATTAGCGTTGTATTAACAACATTACTTTCATTGTTAGATCTTATATTTTGATCTCCTCCATTGCTACTACTGATTTTAATAGTACCCGGAGGGGTCGGTGTCTCAACAATAATCTGCACGGGTGGTTTTCCGTTATTGTTGACTTGTGGATATGATTTTATATTTTCGTCCAAGTTTTCACAACCGTATGTATTATAGCAGCATGTGCAAATAAAATATACTGGAACACCTAAAAAATAAAACTAATATAGTCGTTTTATCTCCTGAAAATATAATTTTTAAAATTACTATCACTTTTTGCTTACCAATTAAAATCCAGATTACAACACGAATCCAAGTTTGTATATTAATGAGTATCATGAGATGAATGTTGACATAAATGCTCAGGCACGGTATGATTGGAACCAGTGGAGTCTGAAACATATCAAATATTACGGAGAAAACATGCAAAGGGTTATGTTTGAAACATATCAAGCGGTATGTGGTTGGAAAATTTGTACATAGTATCCTACGTCATATTATTCACATTCACATTCCTGTACCTCTATGAAGTAGGTTCAGGGCCATGTGCTTCGACAATCTATGGGAAAACCTATGTTCAGCAGTGGTATTATCGTTAGATTGCTGCTACAATAATTTGAAATATTTCAACAATTTTCGATTATCCAAGACTAAGGATGACTTTTATAAAGCGCATCCATTTGGATCCTCTTTGTAAGTAACAGTAAATTGATGCTGTGGAATTGAATGCTCCGCCAGACAGAAGATTAAATAGTTAAGGTCTCTCATAAGATATAACGAAATTTCTATCACCTGTTTTTATATTAATAAAGCATAGGTAAGTCGGGTGTATTGTTCGGCTATGTCCAGAAATGGACTTGAATGTGCTGGTGGTTTATTGTTGTTAAAATAGAAGTACCATTCTTAAAATTTTATGCTAAACACAATTTTAGGTAATAATAATAAATATATAATATATAAATATAAGATCACTTTTAGCTATAAGGGTGACCTTATAGCTAAAATTATCTGTTCCAGGCAACCTTTGTATGGAGAGAAACTTAAAATACCTAAAGACGGAATAAATAATATATACAAATAAGGTGATGAAGTGTCAAAACTTTTAAAACCAAAATTAATATATGTATACTTTACAATTATTGTCTCGAGCTAGGATTCTCTAGACTTACACGTTGATCAGGTGCTGGTAATGAACGCATGTGTCTAGAAAAAACATCTACTACTCAATCATTCTGTATATTTTGTGTATATATAGCACAATATGCACGAGCATGAAAAAAATAAATTATTATTTGTACAAAAATACCTTGAAAGTCAACTCTTCCTCAGCCTGAGGCTGCAGCATCATAACTATGAGCAGTACGAACCCGCAGGCGTGTAGGCTCACCATTGCTATTACAGACTCTTCTACGAAATTAGCCACTAAAGCAATGATCACACAAACGCACACTGAAACAATTTTTTTTTTAATAATAATATAGCTCATTTCGGACAACAAAATCCATTGTGTGAGACATGGAATACTTAACTTGTCTAGTATTAGTATTTTATTAGTATTAGTAAAAGTAATTCATCATCATTACAGACATTCAAAGTTCACTGCTGAACAAAGGCCTCCCCAAGGATTGCCTAGGCGGTTGAAGACTTGCCACAGTTGCCACGCCTAGCAGACGGGTTGACAACCGCGATTATTTTGACGGTGCTGCCAATTTCCTGTTCTGTTTCTCTTTGTCACTTCTTACGGCACCACGTGACGTAGTTAGGTAGGAGAATGTAAGACTATTATTTTTATTTAACTATCTAAGTAAATGCTGACCAAATAAGCCTCCTTATTTGATCATCCTTCAAGCCGACTTTGATATACAGTGTCTTAGAGCATAGAGCATAGAGTTCCGGCACTTAGGGCTATGGGTCGAATCCCACACCTACCGGTAGGGACAGAAAAACGTCTGCCTGTACAGCTAGTATTATAAGTAATAGTACTAAGTACTTGTAATACTATCTATTTTCAGTTCAAATTAATAATTTTACGCTTGAATAGTTATGCAAGGAACTTCCAATACGGAGTTTATCGTCCCAATTAGCGAGTATTGACCAAATAAATGATACCTTAAACCGACGAGCATGTATGCGCAAATATATGGATATGTAAAAAGCGAGAGAGTGGTCCCAAATGGTAGTCCGCAATCTCTGCCTATCCCACTGGGTGGCAGGCGTGATAGCGAATGATTATGATATAATCATGATAGACTTTTGTATTATCTTGAAGTTGACCAGTATAAAGGCTTATTTACACGTGCATGATTGAATACGATTAAATAACCGCAACATTTGCCATTCAAGAAATGTAAGCAACTGTTAACACTTGGAGGATTGAATGCGATTAAATAGCCGCAACAATTGTCATCCAAGAAATGTAAGCATCTGTTAACACGTGGAGGATTGAATGCGATTAAATAGCCGCAACATCTGTCATCCAAGAAATGTAAGCAACTGTTAACACGTGAAGGATTGTATGCGATTAAATAGCCGCAACAATTGTCATCCAAGATATGTAAGCAGCTGTTAACACGTGGAGGATTGAATGCGATTAAATAGCCGCAACTCTTATCATCCAAGAAATGTAAGCAACTGTTAACACTTGGAGGATTGAATGCGATTAAATAGCCGCAACAATTGTCATCCAAGAAATGTAAGCATCTGTTAACAAGTGGAGGATTGAATGCGATTAAATAGCCGTAACAATTGTCATCCAAGAAATGTAAGCATCTGTTAACACGTGTAGGATTGAATGCGATTAAATAGCCGCAACAATTGTCATCCAAGAAATGTAAGCAACTTTTAACACGTGAAGGATTGTATGCGATTAAATAGCCGCAACAATTGTCATCCAAGAAATGTAAGCAGCTGTTAACACGTGGAGGATTGAATGCGATTAAATAGCCGCAACAATTGTCATCCAAGGAATGTAAGCATCTGTTAACACGTGGAGGATTGAATGCGATAAAATAGCCGCAACAATTGTCATCCAAGAAATGTAAGCATCTGTTAACACGTGGAGGATTGAATGCGATTAAATAGCCGCAACAATTGTCATCCAAGAAATGTAAGCAACTGTTAACACGTGGATTATTGAATGCGATTAAATAGCCGCAACAATTGTCATCCAAGAAATGTAAGTAACTGTTAACACGTGAAGGATTGAATGCGATTAAAAAGCCGCAACAATTGTCATCCAAGAAATGTAAGCAACTGTTAACACGTGGGGGATTGAATGCGATTAAACAGCCGCAACAATTGTCATCCAAGAAATGTAAGCATCTGTTAACACGTGGAGGATTGAATGCGATTAAATAGCCGCAACAATTGTCATCCAAGAAATGTAAGCAACTGTTAACACGTGAAGGATTGATAGCGATTAAAACTCCGCAACAATTGTCATCCAAGAAATGTAAGCAACTGTTAACACGTGTTGGATTGAATGCGATTAAATAGCCGCAACAATTGTTATCCAAGAAATGTAAGCAATTATTTACACGTGGAGGATTGAATGCGATTAAATAGCCGCAACAATTTTCATCCAAGAAATGTAAGCAATTGTTTACACGTGGAGGATTGAATGCGATTAAATAGCCGCAACAATTGTCATCCAAGAAATGTAAGCAACTGTTAACACGTGGAGGATTGAATGCGATTAAATAGCCGCAACAATTGTCATCCAAGAAATGTAAGCAACTGTTAACACGTGGTGGATTGAATGCGATTAAATAGCCGCAACAATTGTTATCCAATAAATGTAAGCAATTGTTTACACGTGGAGGATTGAATGCGATTAAATAGCCGCAACAATTTTCATCCAAGAAATGTAAGCAACTGTTTACACGTGGAGGATTGAATGCGATTAAATGAACGCAACAATTTTCATCCAAGAAATGTAAGCAACTGTTAACACTTGGAGGATTGAATGCGATTAAATAGCCGCAACAATTGTCATCCAAGAAATGTAAGCATCTGTTAACACGTGGAGGATTGAATGCGATTAAATAGCTGCAACAGTTGTCATCCAAGAAATGTAAGCAACTGTTAACACGTGAAGGATTGAATGCGATTAAAAAGCCGCAACAATTGTCATCCAAGAAATGTAAGCAACTGTTAACACGTGGGGGATTGAATGCGATTAAATAGCCGCAACAATTGTCATCCAAGAAATGTAAGCAACTGTTTACACGTGGAGGATTGAATGCGATTAAAAAGCCGCAACAATTGTCATCCAAGAAATGTAAGCAACTGTTTACACGTGGGGGATTGAATGCGATTAAATAGCCGCAACAATTGTCATCCAAGAAATGTAAGCATCTGTTAACACGTGGAGGATTGAATGCGATTAAATAGCCGCAACAATTGTCATCCAAGAAATGTAAGCAACTGTTAACACGTGGGGGATTGAATGCGATTAAATAGCCGCAACAATTGTCATCCAAGAAATGTAAGCAATTGTTTACACGTGAAGGATTGAAGGCGATTAAATAGCCGCAACAATTGTCATCCAAGAAATGTAAGCAACTGTTTACACGTGGAGGATTGAATGCGATTAAATAACGCAACAATTTTCATCCAAGAAATGTAAGCAACTGTTTACACGTGGAGGATTGAATGCGATTAAATAGCCGCAACAATTGTCATCCAAGAAATGTAAGCAACTGTTAACACGTGGAGGATTGAATGCGATTAAATAGCCGCAACAGTTGTCATCCAAGAAATGTAAGCAACTGTTAACACGTGGAGGATTGAATGCGATTAAATAGCCGCAACAATTGTCATCCAAGAAATGTAAGCAACTGTTAACACGTGGGGGATTGAATGCGATTAAATAGCCGCAACAATTGTCATCCAAGAAATGTAAGCAACTGTTAACACGTGAAGAATTGAATGCGATTAAAAAGCCGCAATAATTGTCATCCAAGAAATGTAAGCAACTGTTAACACGTGGGGGATTGAATGCGATTAAATAGCCGCAACAATTGTCATCCAAGAAATGTAAGCAACTGTTAACACGTGGAGGATTGAATGCGATTAAATAGCCGCAACAATTTTCATCCAAGAAATGTAAGCAATTGTTAACACGTGGAGGATTGAACGCGATTAAATAGCCGCAACAATTGTCATCCAAGAAATGTAAGCAACTGTTAACACGTGGAGGATTGAATGCGATTAAATAGCCGCAACAATTGTCATCCAAGAAATGTAAGCAACTGTTAACACGTGGAGGATTGAATGCGATTAAATAGCCGCAACAATTGTCATCCAAGAAATGTAAGCAACTTTTAACACGTGAAGGATTGAATGCGATTAAATAGCCGCAACAATTGTCATCCAAGAAATGTAAGCAACTGTTTACACGTGGGGGATTGAATGCGATTAAATAAGCGCAACAATTGTCATCCAAGAAATGTAAGCAACTGTTTACACTTGGAGGATTGAATGCGATTAAATAGCCGCGACAATTTTCATCCAAGAAATGTAAGCAACTGTTAACACGTGGAGGATTGAATGCGATTAAATAGCCGCAACAATTGTCATCCAAGAAATGTAAGCAACTGTTAACACGTGGAGGATTGAATGCGATTAAATGAACGCAACAATTGCTTTTCAAGAATGTTAAACTTCTGTTTACACGTGGATGATTGAATGCGATTAAATAAACGCAATAATTTCCATTAAAAAATTGTAAACAACTGTTTACACGTGGATGATTGAATGCGATTAAATAACCGCAACAATTGCTGTCCAAGAAATCTAAGCAAATGTTAACACGTAAAGGATTAAATAAACGCAACAATTGCCATTCAAGAATTTTAAGCTACTGTTTACGTAATGGCAGCCAGAGCTGCGTCACCTTTTTAGGGCCGGTCCAAATAAAAATAAAGTTCTTATATAATATTGAAAATAAAGTTTTATCTTTTGAATAAGTACGTACTTATTCGGTGTCGTTATCACTCGAATCTTTATATGTGTTATAAATTAATGCTTTTTGTTGTTAAATGAATAAAGTTCTTTATGACAATAGATGATTTTTTTTCTACAGCGATCTTTTGCATAACTTTTTAATAATAGTTAATAAATATATACTATATAAATCATAAAAAAAAATAAAAAAAATTAAATAAAGAAAGTACTACATATAAAAAGTGCCTATATATTGAAGGTTTGTAGCCCCTGGTTAAACGACCGAAAGGTCATTGTCCGTTTTTCTCAATCGATTTGGCACGTACTATAGCCGCATTTGCACAAGAATTTGGAGTTATTATTTATTATTATTTATTTTTAATATATTATTACATTCATTAATTTCATGTTACGTTACGTTACAATCATAAGTTTATAGAAACTTTACCGTGTACCGGTATCACCGACAATAACAAATATGAGGGTGTAGTAAGAAAAAAGAAATACACTTAGTATTTATTGGTTAATTGCGTGATCTATTGCATAATACACCGAGCATGGATCCTATATATTATACAGGACGCTTGTTTTAGAGCGTTTTCGTAGTATTTATAGTACGAAAACGCTCGTAGTTCACGCAACGTAGTTCTGGTTCTAGTTTCGTTTGACAGGAATAACATTACGCATTGTTGTATTTTAACTTTGTATAGAAGAACTCTCTTTATCTAACAAATAATGAAACTGGGTTCTGTTCACAGTGTTTTCTGTTTGTAGCTCTACACAAAGATTGGTAGTTTCTCCGAGCACCTCCCGTCTTGCTATGCATTTTTTATTCAACATCTTTTTTTTAACAAGTTATCTCAATATTTCTTGCCCTAGAAGAGTAGCAACGATCAACAAAATTCTTTTTTTATGTTTGCAAATGAAGAGAAAAGCCAATGGAATACAAGAATTGCATAAGACATTATTGTGTGCTATTTATACCAACAAAAATATTGAATCGAAACTTGTCCAGAAATCAAGAACGTTACGTGATGTTCAGACCATGCAAGTCATTAATTGCTTCAAATTAATTGTATGCAACAGACAAGAAACTTGCATCTTGTAAATGGCCCTTAATACTTGAATTTAGATTTCATTTCATTAACTAACTATAAATAAACGTGTGGCTTTGGTGTAAAAATATCCACTACCCCATATCGTCTCGTGGTGGCCGCATCTAAATAATATCAGCTCAAAATTATTAAAATCAGCGGTTGTCAATGCCTGCCAAGCGTGGCAACTTTGCTCCGTGGTGGCAACCATGGCAATCTGTGAGGGAGGATTAAGTTCAGCAGTGGACATTAATAGAAGTACATTTAAATATTATCACCTAATTTTCACCTCTCGACCTTTTCGAAGTATTTCATTAAAGACAGCTAAAATTGTAGGAAATACTTACTAAATAACACCAAGGTAATATTCACTACCCGTGATGTGCGACGAGACGGCATTCTCATCTCGCATCTAATGATCTGCTTAAAGTAGCCAGTGTCTGGAGTATCGGAATCTGATCGGTATCTGAAATATTGAATAATTATTATTATAAATTGTTGTGCTTTTATAACTATTGGATGAACTATTTTTTATAGAATAAGGTTGACAAACGAGCATACATTCCACCTGGTAGTGAGTGCATGCTGTGGCCCATAGACATCCATATCATATCTCGATTAAGAATCAAAATGCAAATGCGTTATCACCCCTGAAGACTAAAATGGCATGTCTCGATTCCACTCCATAAAAAGAGTCTCTGTGAGTCTCTCAGTCTCTGCCTCTCTCTATACTAAAAACAATAGCATTAAGCTGCTATTTTACGCTGGTATTCTGTGAGAGCGTGGTCCTACATCGGTCGAGCCGACCTATTCGTGCTACAACCATAATATACCTGCAGCGTGGCTCTATCATATTAACCACCACCAATAAAGAGCTTTATCACATAAATGTGATAAAGCTCTTTATTGGTGGTAGAGCTATGCTGCAGCTTACTGGGTGGTAGTACTTCTTTTTTGTATAAGCGTCAGTCTGTGAAATAGGTAAATCAAATCAAATCAAATCATTTATTTGCAATCTAAGTGTACATAATTGGTATTAAATTAAAAATGTGCTTACAACTTAGACGCCCTTTTCAGGCACTGCAAATTTGACAAGGGCACTGCTTATATACTATTAACATACATAAAATAAAATAAAATTAAAAGCTATAAAATATATAATATATATAGTGTTATTTTTTATCTAAATACTCTTCTACTGAGTAGAAGGGGTTTTGTTTTAAATATTTACCGAGTCTTGATTTAAATTTGGTTAATTCTGATATATTTTTTATTTCCCGTGGTAATTTATTATATACTTTAATTGCCATATAGTAGGGGCTTGTATTTAACATTTTTGTTCGCGACTGTGGTAGGTATAATTTATTTTTGTTACGTGTATTTAAGTTATGCGTATCTTTAATTTTCTTAAAACTATTATTATTTTTGTGGACAAACAGGTATCTAAGAGTTACTAAATTCTACCCGAACGAGAACTAATGCGAGGTAAAAAAACGTGATAATAAAATACAACTACTTGTCTACTTACAAGGATACATAGTTACCTCAATAATATAACACACGCCGCAACAATGGTGTAGGAGAGGAGCGTCCCAATACACATCATCATGACTAGCTGCTCCAGCTCCAATATAGCTGCCAAGATGGCTGGAATAGAATACCATGTTTATGCATAAGTAAATTAAATTCCCGCTTGTGTGTGTGTGTGTGTGTGTGTGTGTGTGTGTGTGTGGCTTGCTTGTGCGTGTGCGTGTGCGTGAGCGTGTACGTGAGTGCGCTTGTACGTGTGCGAGGGCGTGTGCGGGTGCGTAAGCGTGAGCATGTGCGTCTGCGTGAGCGTGTGATTGTACATGAACGTGTGCGTGAGCGTGTGAGTGAGCGTGTGAGTGAGCGTGTGCGTGTGCTTGAGCGGGTGCGTGTGTGTGAACGTGCGCGTGACCGTGTGCATGTGCGTGTGTATAAGCATGTGCGTGTGTATGAGCATGTGCGTGAGCGTGAGCATGTGCGTGTATGTATGTAAACATGTATGCCATCAAAAACATAACTTGTAAAAAAAAACAAGTCTCGCAACTCAGTTCTACCGTAAAAAGTTGTGAGATCCATGTAATACCAAGTCGGTTAATTTATTCAGTCCGTACTTAAGGGTCTTTCTGTCTTAAGTTATTACGTAATTAGCTAACATAACAACATCTTGCTGTGACCATATCAATATTAAAAATATTTTATGTTTTAAATAAATAGATTGACTTGGGCCATCGTATGAAAACACAATGTATCTCACAAGTAATACATATTATATTAAATTCAATTGCTTAGTGCGATTGCCAAGTCAATCTATTATATACTCGAGACCGAATTTTGGACTCGGTGGCCTGTTTCAAGACGACTGGCCATCTGATTATAGTGTGTGTGCAAGCGCACAGGTGCACTCCCTATTCCCACACTTTCATAACACAATGGTACGTCTCATAATCCCACAACAGTCAATCTTACAACCAATAAACCAACGAGATAGTTGCCTGTTCTGACACCCAAAGTATGGGAAGATTGGTAGTTAATACTTTTGTACCACCACCGCACGGTGAAGTCTTCTGATACATACCTATTATACAAGTGGATAGCAGTGTAGCGATCACTGGAGACTTTCGATTAGAGTTGACCCTCGCAAGCCAATGAAACAGTAGACCGTCAGACGCCATAGCGTAGAGCAGTCGAGGTAAAGGGAACATGGCACCGTAAAGACTGCAAGAGGAGCAAAAATATAATATCAATTTAACCAAAAGGAAAAATCATATGTTATGTTGGTTATAATTATATTTTTTTTTAATTTATTTTATGTACGCACATTAAGATACAGAAGCAGTCTTACAGTAATTACGTACAAAGGTTCTACTTATTCCAAATTCGCTGAAATATCTTCCAGTAGACCCATAAAGGAAATTATATTGAAATTGCAAACTTAGTGCATACGTTAGTACTACGAAAAAATAAATAATATACACAATGTTACGTAAATTATATAAAATAAAACAATAAATAAAAATAAAATAAATCAATAAATAATAATAATAATAAATACGATAGTTACATATGATATATATAAACTAACTTATAATAGAATAATATATATAAATTAACAGGATGCAAAGTAGTTATCTCTAAGACGTTTCTTGAAAACCAACAAAGTTTCGGAATTTCTTATGTTTGTCGGTACTGAGTTCCATAACCTTACCGCTTGAACTGAAAAGGAGTGGGAGTAAAAACCGGAATTATAGACGGGAAAGTCAAGAAGATTTTTAACAAGGGATCTGCATGGTTTGTCCGGAGGATGGGTGAAGGAAAATCGGCTTCTGAGGTATGGGGGAGAGGAAGGGTGGTGCAAAATGTTATAGAGAAGACATAACAATCGAGTGTTCCTTCGAAGTCGAATTGGGAGCCACTTGAGTTGCTTACGAAACTGAGATATACGGTCAAATTTCTTGAGCCCTACAAATTTCTTGAAATTTATTACATTTTTCTTCCAAGTAGTATATTGAATATAGTAAAAGCATATTTTTATTTTTAAAAATTTACCTCGCAGCAATCCCAAACACGGCACCGACGGACACAACCCACCGCGCCCAGTCCCAACCCACGTACGTGAAAGCCGTGGCGACCGACGCTACCGTGTCCTGAAAATGAGATACGATACGACAAATATTTTGTTGTTGGATTTCTTCTTTGCCTGTACCGATGAAAGCCGTGGTAACTCAGATGGTTCCATGGCGGCATCTGAAAAAGTTGGAAACATTTATAGAAATACGGATACACCCTTCGTTGTATTACTGTTAGAAGGCATTCCATCTTAGCTGTCAACGGTGACAACGCATTTGTGGCCATCTTTCACCATCAGGTGAACTGTTGGCTCGTTTGTCAATCTCGTTTAATAATAATATTACGGAGCCGCCACAGCGCAGTGGATTAGCATTGAGTTGCGGATTCGGATCCCGAACGAAACAAATATTTTTATGACCTAAAAATATTTGTTCCGTGCTTGAATGTTTGTGCTTGTGTTATTTAAGTATGTAAACTGCCTCCACGATACAGAAGAAAATCCCAGTGGAGTGGTAAGGTTTTAAAAAAACCAAATTTTCATCAATTACAATAACTCAATTCAAGTTACCTGCAAGTAATATGGCACCATCATGGTTATGACGACGGCGACGCAAGCGTATGCCACGAACACGAGGCCCAGCACTGTCAGGATCGCGAATGGGATCACTCGCCGCGGCTCACGCACCTAGCGAGTCAAGTGGTTATACTGCAGCTATATTATAGTTTTTATTTATTATTCTTAGCCAGCACTGAACTTCAATCCCTCCTAACGCCTCGTAATGATGCAGCCGACGATGATGAAGCACACTGACTTAACAAAAGCCTACTCACTCTTGCCTTGACTCTTGCCTCCGACAGTGGTGTAGGTGTCTACTTACACCACTGTCGGATCGAAAGACAGATGCTGGTAACTTATTACACTCCTTTGCTGTACGAATGACGAACGATGTGTAGCAAATTGCATGGTAAGTCGACAACCAAAAGGTAGACACTAGCCGAGCGTCTAGTCTTCCGATTGTGGAAGTATAATTACCAAAGAACTATAAGAATCAATACCAGCGTAAAATAGCAGCTTAATTCCGCTGTGCTTCATTCATATAAGTGTAAAGATCCGTAGACCCTTTTATTGGATACGAGGCATTCCATCCTAGTCCTCTGGGGTGACAACGCATTTCAATTTTGATTCATAATCAAGAATAAGTGTAGTCTATGGGCCACAGCATCCACTTACGATGAGGTAGACTGTGTGCTCGTTTGTCATCCGTACTCTTTAAAAGAAAACAGGTGTAGTCCGCCAACAGGCCGTTACAGTCTACTGCTGAAAACAGTTCTCCCCTATAGATTGATTCACAGAAGGGATATTTGCCATAGTTGCCACCTGTGAGGTTAGGCAAGAAGATTTACCATGATTGTTAACGCCATAGAAAACCTTTTTTATAGGAAAGGTTGACAAACGAGCACATAGTCCACCTGGTGTAAAATGGTTGCTATGGCTCATAGACATCTACATCTAATCTCGATTACGAATCAAAATGCAGATGCGTTGTCATTACGTGGTAGAGCCATGCTGCAATTATATTAGTAGTATAGTTGTAGCACGAATGGATCGGCTCGACCGGGGAAGGACCACGCTCTCACAGAATACCAGCGTGAAATAGTAGCTTAATGCTGCTGTATTTCGTATGGTGAGTGTAGAGAACCGGAGACCCTTTTTACTGGAAATGAGGCATTCCATCTCAGTCCTCACGGGTGACAACGCATCTGCATTTTGATTTGTAATGGAAGATAGATGTAGATGTCTATGGGCCGCACCAACCACATACCATCAGGTGGACTGTGTGCTCGTTTGTCACCCTATCCTATAAAAAAAAACCCGTGAGGACTAAGATGGAATGCCTCGTTTCCAGTAACAAAGGTTCTCCTTTTCTCTACACTCACCACGAGTAAAGAAATTTCACGCTGGTATTCTGTGAGAGCGCGTTCCTTCCCTGGTCGAGCCGATTCATTCGTGCTACAACTATACTACTAATATAGGTGCAGCATGGCTCTACCACGTATAAAACATCAAACTTTGTGCTTAATTTATATCTATATATATAACAGCTACACCGATTTTGATGAAATTTTTGTGTGCTTTTGGGTAACTTTGACTTGCTTAGACTTAGCGTTAATTTTATTCATTTCTGATACTTTCGAGTGATTTCATTCTTGTCGCTCAACTGCGGGACTAGTATGTATACGTAATCTAGTATGTGTTAATTTAGTTTCTATATATATTCTTTAAATCATTTTTCATTCAATCGTTCCTTCATTAAAGCTCAAAGTCCTCTGCTAATTACAGGCTTCACACTTAGGTTGCCTCGTGGGGGAGTTATATATAGTAGTACTTGTACTGCCACCTATCTCCGCTTTTAGTTTCCCTCTTTAGCCAGGTACGTGGTAGATCCACGCTGTATTGCGTGGTAGAGCCACGCTGCAGCTATATTATGGTTGTAGCACGAATGGGTCGGCTCGACCGGGAGAGGACCACGCTTTCACGGAATACCACCGTAAAATAGCAGCGTAATGCTGCTGTGTTTCGTATGTGAGTGTAGAGAACCGAAGATCCTTTTTACTAGAATCGAGGCATTCTATCTCAATCCTCAGGGATGACAACGCATTTACATTTTGATCTTTAGTTGAGGATAAATGTGGATGTCTATGGACCACAGCATCCACTTACCATCAGGGGGACTGTCTGCTCGCTTGTCACACAATGCTATAAAGAAATAGTCTCTTACGACAACCATTGTATGATATGGGGTAGTGAACTCCTTTACATCGCAATTACACGGCAAGCCTATTTATTGCTCATTCGTCTTTTTTATAACTTTTGTAACAGTCCAATTAAGGTAAATATCATAATTGCAGGTCAAATAACTCGTATTCTATTATGGTTAATGCGATGAACCAAAAGAATTTTTTTTATTGAAATAGCCATATTACTGCGTTGTGTTCTGATTATTGTTACGTGTTAGTCTGGGACTTATAGGTAATGGTATACTGGGTTTGTGATTGTGTAGACAATGGACTAGCCACCTATGACTTCTTTCACTATTTTTATAGACTTCCACAGTCCACCCGATGGTAAGTGGATGCTGTGACCCATAGACATCTATATTTAACGTTAATTAATAGTCAAAATGCAGGTACGTTGTCATCCCTGAAGACTAAGATGGAATGTCTCGTTTTCAGTAAAACGAGTCTCCGGTTCTCTACACTCACCATACGAAACACAGCAGCATCAAGCTGCTATTTTACGCTGGTATTCTGTGAGAGTGTGGTCTTTCCCCGGTCGAGCCGACCCATTCGTGCTACAACCATAGTATAGCTGCAGCGTGGCTCTATCACGTATGATTCTTTCACTATTTTCCAGCCAAACTCATATATCTTAAACGCTTTCCGCGTAGTCCTCTGTGCTCTTTGGACTATACCTACTCCCTTGGAGATTAAAGCCGTGTCACCGCTACTACTGCCTCGTTGTTCTAGTGGTTGTAGTAGTGCGACTGCTGATCATGAGGTCCTGGGTTCGAATCCCGGATCGAGCCAAAAAAATTAATTATTGAGTTTTTCCGTCAAGAAATTCTCTGTAGTTGCCTGGGGTCAGGAAGTTGGCGGTGTCTCACCCCCGTGTGCCTCGGAAAGCACGTAAAGCCGTGGGTCCTGCGCCTGATCTCTGTCCCGTCGTGTCGGTTTACCGTCCCATCAGATTATGAGAGTGACGGAATAGAGAGTGCACTTGGGCTTGCGCATACACTCGTGCACTATAAACTTGTCCGCGTAGATGGTCTCCTTTGACCTAACGGGACCGAAATTCGGTCTGGAAGACACTATTATAAAATTAAAAGCGTACAACAACCATTTCAAAGATTTGAACCAACCTCCTCCCCCGTAGAGTTGATGGTGTCGAAACCCACGAATCCATAGAAGCAGATTGCGGCACCGCGCAGTGTGCCCCACACGCCGTACGGAAAGAACCCGCCGGAGCCCTGGCCCTCCGGCACACTGCTAGCGGGGATTCTCCAGTTGCTAACGTCCGCTGGAATATAATAACAACATTGTTCACAGAAAGCACACAGAAGGACATGCCTGCACCAGTTTGATGTATAACTTAAATTATAACCTGTTTACATCTCATTACTGGGATTTTATCTTAATTCTTAGAGGGCTATGAAGCAAATAGTACGCCACGCTGCTGCTGTTTGTGTTGACGAACTTCTAGTTCTTTGGATATTCAGGATTCCTCACGATATGCTTATATTCACAGTCGGGTACGTGGTAAATCAGCACTTATAATTGCAATTACCAAATTCATTGGTGCCAGAAGTATTTAGCCCGGATTGCTAGCATACTGTGTGAATACGGTTTCAATGATCGATATTATAGACCTTTTTTATAGAATAAGGGACTTTTTATAGACAAACGAGCACACAATCCACCTCATGGTAATTGTATGCTGTGGCCCATAGACATCTACATTTAGTCTCGATTGAGATTCAAAATGCAGATGCAGTGTCACCCCTGAGGACTAAGATGGAATGCCTCGTTGCCAGTAAAAACGGGTCTCCGGATCTCTACACTCTACATACGAAACACAGCAGTATTAAGGTACTATTTTACGCTGGTATTCTGTGAGAGTGTGGTCCTACCCCGGTCGAGCCGACCCATTCGTGCTACAACTTTACGACATTCCTAGGGTATGGTTTATGTTTAGCAATGAATCTCAAGGTGGTAAGTAAAATAGATGCTAGATGGCCTAAACGCGACTAATTTATTATAGTATTCTATCTCAATCCTGTGCATATGTTTGTCCCTTTTTAATGTCGCTTTTGCCTTTCAGTTTCTAGTTCCAAGTCACAACGAATCTAATGAAGTTTACTCGTCAAAAAAATCTCTTATAAAAATAAAAATGTGCGATGTGTCTTACCTTTGAAAGCGCCGGCGATCACAATGAACAGTATGACGGCCATGTTGACGGCGGCCAGCACGTTGTTGACGGCGGACGACGCGCGCACGCCCAGCGACAACAGTACTGCGAACAAACAAACAAGAAAAAAAAACAAACGGATCACTTCATACCATTCATATAATATAGCTCCCTAGGAATGAAACACTTCCGCCAATGGGACTCAAGTTATGATAACAATCCTATTATTTTATTACGTGAATAATAGGCAGGGGAAAAAATTTCTTCGCATTTTATAGTATACAAATTCAAGACATTTTTGTTAAAAGTCTTATTACGTTTAATTATAATATATATGTGTGTCATTTTGTTTGATAACTTGTTGCCATCTTGTAGGTAGTGATATAATCCCGTTGCTGTAAAAATCTTGGCGACAAGTAGTTTGACAGCCTTCTGTAGATGTTAACTCTAACATTACCTAAAGAATTCTGAAGAGACCGAAACAGGTGAAAGTCTGAGGGTTCAAGGTTAGAGCCATATGGTGAATGCGTTAACACTTCCCAACTAAGCTCTCTCAATATTTGCTGAGCGGCCAAAGATGTGTGCCCAGACAGCACGTTATCATGATGAAAGAGCACTCCTCTTCTATTGATCTATTCCGGCCGTTTTTTCTCAATTTCTTGCTTGAGTCTAATTAGTTGTTGGCATTAGAGATCCAAATTGATAGTTTTGCTCGGCGGTAAAAGCTCATAATAAACGATATTCTTCCAATCCCACCATACACAGCAATACCTTATTGCGTGTTAATCCGGGTTTCGCTACAGTCTGTGGAGCTTGACTACCCTCTAATCATGATATTTTTCACACATTCTTGTCGTAGGTACTCGTAATCCACTTTTTATCACCAATGATAAATCTTTTCAAAATGGTTCGACTTCATTACGTTTCAATAGAGAATCACAAATGAGTACACGATTTATTAGGTTTCTTTTAGTGAGCTCGTGTGGTACCCAAATATCGATCTCTTTGTATGGCCAGACCTAAAACTGTTTTGTGATCAATCCACAATTCCTAGACTATGGTAACTACTAATATGCCGAACTTGCCCTAATTTTTCAAAAATGGCATCGACTTAATCCGTATGACCGTATGGGCGACCAGAGCGAGCTGCATCCTTGACATCAAAATTTCGGTATTGAAAACGCTTGAACCAACTTCGTGCTACTCTTACCGACACTGCATTAGATCGACAAACGTCATAACTTTTTTCGGGGCTTGAGTCACATTTTTCCCTTTTTTGTAATAAAACTTAAGAACGTATTGGATTTCTTTGTTAAATTCACTCATTTTGGCTGGCGGACAGAATAACAATTGAAAAATGGCGGGAAAGTGTTTTTTTCTTTTTCTTTTCTTTTTCTTAACGTCCTATCATATGTATTGATAATGAAACCAGCCAGATACAAATAGTACAACCAAAGAGAATTTTCTTCAATTTTATACAAACAAAATACGAAGAAACCTTTTTCCGAACAATTATTATTGTTTGTATGGAGGTTGGTGAGTGTCGCTCCATTTCCTCCCGTGGGTGCCATAAGAGGTGACTATGGGAAAACAGGATGAACAGAAACAGGTGATGGACAGCAGATCTTCCTGTTAATAACTCAGAATAATAAAAAACTGCGTTGCTAAGCCGCCCACCACGCATGGCAACTATGGCAAAATTCCCATTATAGGGGAGCCCTATGTTCAGCTGTGGACTATATGCTGTAATTGATGGATGGAATGGATGGGATACATCAGAAAAATCTAATAGCTTCCGATACAGGAGACGGTATGCTCCATGTTTGTCTAGACAGGTTTTATCGCCGAGAAAAATGTTTTTTTTTTCTAGCGTCAAGCAAAGCTTGGTTGCCCAGGTACTCAGAATTTCGGATTTTTTTATGGATATTTGGGAATAATTCTTAAAGAAATTAAGGTAAAACTAAAATCGTAAGTAAATAAACTGTTACTGCTACAACGTAAGATACCTATATACCCAGCAGTGGGCTCTTACTGGCTGATAATAATGTTTTCTTTTTTATTTTATTTTAATAATAAAAATACTAACAGTAAGTCATTGAGCTAATATCTACTACGTACTAGAGGCGACACTGCATTCAGCTACTATGTTCCATTCAACTGCGGTGCATACACTGCACTTTAATCAGTCACTCGCTAAGCGCTTGTAGAGTTGACACGTGTTGTGTTGATTTAAAAAAAAATCTCATGATAAAAATGTGCCGTCGTGCGTACTTAGATATTGCACAAATAATTCAAGAAATGTCGGTAAAAACCAAGGAATTATTTTCATTGGTTAATAAGATACTTAATCAATAAAAAAAGTATTATAAATTAGTAATAAAACAAATTATTCCTAAGACGCCGTCTTGTGTCACGTAATATAGATTATGAAATTAATTTGTTCAGATGCGACATTTCTGTGGGTACTTAAATATAGGACGAATATATTATTATACACATTTTTTTTGTAGAAACATATATGAGTTATCATAATTAGGCCAAATTTTTAAGCTATTGCATAGCTTCTATCGCGGGCCTTGAGCGTGGGGACCGAATCCAGAAATTCCGTAACGAAAAAAACCTCACGCTCCCCACTCCGACGGGCACGGAGGTGTGGCGTTGAAAGCCGTGCATCGTCTAACGTCGTTTCAGTTCGGCAGACTTCGGCACTCGGCAGACTTCGGCACGGTGTTTGTGTGCGTGCGACTAGACGTATGCGTGTACACTAGCTGCTAACTCAATGATAAAAATTCCTGAATAACCTACATGTATTGTAAGATATTAAAAATATTTTAAACAATATTAACTTCTCATTTATTCAGTAAGAGAAAAAAAATTGTTTTCTTATCGGTCACCACGCTCAAAAAGTGTAACTTGATTTAATATCAAAGACTTAACTGCATAAATAAAATAAATAAATAATTATAATTGCATAAGTTGATAAAAAATGCTATGCAATAGTTTTACCGCGGCAGTCACCGAGTGCCACACGTATTTTTTATTTTTAAATCTGCTAATTATTCCTATATTTTATTTTTAGGTATCCACATCAAAGTCAAAGTGGAATAAATTCGTCAATTTTTAACTCTCGCGTGCCCAGTATTTATGAACGGCTCTTATTCTAATTTAAATAAATATATTTGTAATTTAAATGTTATATTAACAAGTTTTGTTAAACATACATTTAGTATGTTTTTTATATTTGAGATAGATACCTTTTAAAATATTGAGATAAAAATATCATTAAAATATAATTGTGATATAATATTATATTAAATAAGCAAATATAATATGCAAAATAAATGACAAAATTTAAAAAATTGTTCTCGATATAATTTACCTATTTAACAGTACAGTCTTTTATTACCTACTGATTATTCTACCTATGTTTATTCTATGATAAGAAAACAAACCGCGCGAACACAGAGTAGCGCACATTTTATGTTTGAAATAGCTGTTCTAGTACGTAAGTACATATTACTTCAATGCAGTAAGTATAAAAATATTAACTTTCCAAATATTCCGGTGAGATCAAAATACTTGTGTTAGGTGTCTAGTGGATTTGAACCCCAGGCCTTTGAGTTAATGTCCCGACTCGCGTCGGCTTTGCCTGGGTAGGATCTATTAATGTGGAATTATTTAAATTTTAAGTTAATTATTTTTATCATGTTCGATTTCTCAAAAATATGTCAAAGTTTTTCGGGTAATCAAATTTCTATCTGTTTATAAAGTTTCGTCACAGACAGACAAACAACTAAAAATGTTTCACAATGGTTATCCATGACTTGCAAATAATCCCCTCAACTCAAAACAGGCAGTTGTTTTGATATAACAAACAGACATTTCAATTTTGTGTATGTATAGATGATGAATTATATTGCAGAGAAAATTTTTCGCCAATAAATTGCTGATACTGTTAGTTGCTAGCAATTGCCTACAGTTACATACGTACTTACCTCCGAGAACGATGACCACAAGAAAAGCAAATACGTCGAAATACGCAGAAAAATGCGCAGAGTATATTGGCGTTGCCTCTAAAAACCAAGTCGACATCGTTTTATTGAGCATTGAGTCTAAATACATGCTTAGTCCCCTGGCTACGCTCGCAGTGCCTGAAAAGAAAAAAAGAATGATGAATTAAACAAAAGTTAAAAAAATATAATAGGCACGGGTGGAAATATCATAATTGATGGTAGAATTTATAGTTAATTAAAACCAATAAAGAAATATGGATTAAAATAAATTAAAAAATAGAAAAGCACACGCAGTACACAATTCACACAGAGACGCAAAGAGCAGTCGAGAGCGGTGGCGTAGAGAAGTCATGCCTTTTGCCGCCACGGCATACAAGACTGTTTTACTGCCAACGCGCGTCAATAGATATTAAACATAAATAATGTTTAGTAAAGATGCCTGTCATTTTAGTCCCGAGACATGAAAAAGTTTCAGTAATTAGTTTTTAATCGAGGAGTTGTGTCTAATGGCCACCGTATCCACTTACGATGAGGAAGACTGCACTCGTGTGTGTGCTTTATCACCCTTACATCTATTTACTTATACAACTAAAGTGACAAACAATTAAATAGTCCACCTGATGATTTTTTTATAGAATAATGGTGACAAACAAGCACACAGTCCACCTGATAGTAAGTGGATGCTGTGGCCCATAGACATCTACATCTATCCTCGATTCCGAATCAAAATGAAGACGCGTTGTCACCCGTGAGGACTAAGATGGAATGCCTCGGTTCCAGTAAAAACGGTCTCCGGTTCTCTACACTCACCATACGAAAAACAGCAGCATCAAGCTACCATTTCACGCTGGTATTCTGTGAGAGCGTAGTCCTCCCCGGTCGAGCCGACCCATTCGTGCTGCAACTATCCTACTAATATAACTGCAGCATGGCGTACCACGTACTGAAAAATATGATAAGTTACTGTTGCAAACTATGGACATCAGTAATCATCTCCAAACAAAGAAGGAACAGATGCGTTGTCGTCTCTGAAGACCAAGATGTAATATGTCACGGCCTCTAATTATAGTGGCTCTCTATCTATACCCTCCAGATTTCTCACGAAGTATAAAGAAAGATATCAAAGCTTTTCTTGTTGCCTTTCTTTCTTACCCCGTAATTAAATTTACAACTTTCGTTGATTTACACAAAACCTACTTAAGATGGCTTTGTGTAAATCAAAGAGAGGCAGAATGTCTTACCGAACATGGACTCTATTATCATGTTCCAGCCGATGATGAAAGCGAGGAACTCTCCCACGGTGACGTAGGTGTAGATGTAGACGGAGCCAGCTTTCGGCACCCGCGACCCGAACTCTGCGTAGCACAGACCTGTTGACCAAGTACGGTGACAAAAATATATAGAAAAATATCAAACGGAAGACAGGTCCATGGCTGCTGCATACGTCATACTTATAAACAAGTCCTGCTTGTTGGGACAGATCTGCTGGGGCTTACACCACATTTATTAGCTTTGATTTGCTACGGAAGAGAACTTTTTAAGCAAAGAGCTGTTGTTTAAGTAAAAAATGGAATAAAGTTTGATAGATTCTAGAAAGGACAAGTTTTCATACGTGGCAGAGCCACGCTGCAGCTATATTAAAGCTCTGGCATGAATTGGTCGGCTCGACCAGGGTACGACCACGCTCTCACAACGTATCTGAAATTTGATTCTTAATCAATGATAAATGTAAATGTCTATGGGCCATAGGATTCACTTACTATGAGGTGGACTGCTCGTTCGGATGTCACCCTTATTCTATAAAAAGTTTTACTATCTTTAAATTTAAATCTTACCTGCGAACAGTGACGCGATGGCCGCGATAAGGAACGAAAGAACAATAGAGGGGCCCGCGATATGCAGCGCCACAGAACCCACCAACACGTAAATACCTACACCCAGAGTGCTGCCAACACCCAGGGCAGTCAGGTCGCAGAGGGTTAAACATCTGAAAACAATGCACATAAAGTTTTTATTTTGGAATAAGTGTGACAAAGGAGCACACAGTCCACCTGATGATAAGTAGATACTGTAGCAGATGCGCTGTAATCCCTGAGTATTAACATGTGAATGCCTCTGATCCAGTGAAAAGAGTCTCCGATTCTCCATACTCACCATACAAAACATAGTATCCGACCCATAGGGCGGATATTGCCAAAGTTGCCACGCTTGGCCGGGCAATCTAACAGGGGAGAACTAAGGAAGTAATGGTAATAAAAGGATAAGCTACTGCCCTTTATCATGTTCGGCTATATAACCATTTACCATGACACATCTAAGACGGACATAATACAATCATAGCACTGAGGTGACGGCGCAATAGAATACATTACCCGTTGCGTGCGCGTCAGCGTGTGCGTGTGTATTTTATATAGCATTATATAGTGTGACAAACGAACAGATAGTCCACCTGATGGAATTAGGTTGGTATTTTACGCTGGTATTCTGTGAGAGCGTGGTCCTGCCAAGATCGAGCCGAGTCATTCCTGCTACAACTATAATATAGCTGCAGCGTGGCACTACCACGTAAAAACGTATATAAGTACGTGTTTGAGTAGTATAGGCCTAGCTTTCCCTTTCTCCCTACTATCTCCATCCTAAGTATTTACGCCTGGAGTGACGGAGATGGTTATACCGTCGTTTATCTGAAGCCATGATCTCTTTCTGGCATTTTTCAAAGCCGCCTTCCACCCACGGAACGAAATAATGTGATGGATTGTCTCTATGCCACTCCACACGGCAAAACGATACGGCGATTTACGCACGCGTCACGGGATAAGCTACGTGCATACATCGACATACTGTAAAACTAACATGACGCCTTTGTAAGCCGATTTAAATAAAACAAACTCGAAAAGTTAGCCCCAGCTTATCTCAATAATAAAAACAACATCTGTAAATATTGTTTCAGCCGTTGCGGAGATTAGCGCGCACAAACACACAGACAAAAAGTCCGTTTACAATTTTATTATACGTATACTATATACATACACCATATACCCTTTGGGGCCGATTTCGCAATAGTTGCCACGCTTAGCAGGCTAGTTGATAACCGCAGTCTTTTATCATTGTGAATTGTTGTTATGATGATGCTGCTATCCATCACCTGTTTCAGTTACCCTCGGTCGTCTCTTGACAACCACATGACGATATGGGGTGGTGGATATCCTTACACCACCACCCTCACACAAACTTGTTCATTCTCTCCTTCAAAATACAATTTTGTAACCGGGTTGACAGACAAACGCTGTCAAAAAAAAATTCACTTCTTTGGACTATGCGTTATGAAAGACGAAGCAAACGAGTTGGTTGGTTGAGTGTGTGGTAAAAGGGAGAGGGAAAATTAAATAAAGGATACCTGATAATTGATAAAATCAGGCGTTACTTTGCGGAAATCCATTATAACAAAAAATAAAAATATAAATTTCTTTGCAACCTTCCGCTAAATAAATAGAATGATGTGTCTAACCTGGATTGAAGAGCACCTCCCGCCCTCCCTCAATTAGTTAGTGCATGCAATGGAGGGAGGGCGGGAGGTGCTCTTCAATCCAGGTAAGACACATCAATCTATTTATTTAGCGGAAGGTTGCAAAGAAATTTATATTTTTATTTATCGTTAGAAAGGATACCTGCATATACCCGAATAAAGGATACCCGAATCTAAATCGTCGAGAAAGTGGAAATACTGGCAGCAAATATCATAACAGATATCGAAATTAAAATTTAATTACTACGTACAAGTCTAACTAACGCAAGAAACACAAACCTTCTGAGATCACTAGCTTCCAGCTGCTCAGGTTCAAAGATCTTCTTTTTGCCCAGTGCCTTCCCGAAAGCCCGCCACTTGCGAGAAGCCATTGATCAACTCAGCCCAACGCCTGCCCCGAAATTCCGCATCTGGACAGCTTTGGAGATACAACCTGGTGTTAACGTAAATCCTATGTAAAATAATGCATATATAATTGTAGTTACTTAATATTTATACACCTCATAATGACAGTATAAAAATATTTACTACCGCAAGAAACACAAACCTGCCTCTGCGACTGCCTCGTTGGTCTAGTGGTTGTAGTAGTGGTACTGCTGATTATGAGGTCCTGGGTTCGAATCCCGGGTCGGGCCAAAAAATCAATTATTGAGTTTTTGTGTCAAGAAATTCTCAGCCAGCTGTCCGGAGTCAGGAAGTTGGCGGTATCTCACCCCCGTGCCTCGGAAAGCACGTAAAGCCGTTGGTCCTGCGCCTGATCTCTCTCCCGGTCGTGTCGGTTTACCGTCCCATTGGATTACGAGAGTGAGGGAATAGAGAGTGCACCTGTGCTTGCGCATACACTTGGGCACTATAATCCTGTCCTGCGCCGATGGCTAGCCTCCGTTGAGGCACGCCACCGTGGCCGAAATTCGGTTTGGAGGACATTATTATTTACTACCACATATCTTGATGTGGATGTCGTGAGAGGCGACAGAGGGCAGCATGCCAGGAATAGGGCAGTAAAATCTTTCTTACGACAAAGAAAAATAAAAACTATGGTTGCAACTCCTCTGCTTAAGGATACCTCGAAAAATTTGGTGGGTTTTCTATTTCACATATTTTTTAAGTTTGATAGATTACAAACCAAAATTTTGGTATATGTCTTTTGACTATATGACCTTGGATTACATAAAAGTAAAACACGGTAAAGAATATCCACTACCCCATATCTTCCCGTGGGTGTCGTAAAAGGCGACAGAGGGAAACAGGCAGGAGATGGGCAGCAGCATCTTCCTGATAACAGCAACTGTACGACAAAAAAAACTGCGGTTGCCAACCCGCTCGCCAAGCGTGGCAATTATGGCAATATACCCCCCATGAACAATTACACAAATAGACGGCCCCCAGTCCCCGGCGGCCCCGCTATTCCTGGCTACGGTGGCGACCATGGTGGCAGGGTAGAATCTCCGGTGGAGGTTCAGTTGCCACCTACGACGACTCGACCTGGCAACATTTAACGCACGCACCCTGAGGACTGACGAGAAGATCCTGGAGCTGGAAGAAGAGATAGACAAGTTGTGCTGGAATATTATAGGATTATCCGAAGTCCTAAGAGAGGGGGAGGACACGGTGATTCTCGAATCCGGCAACTTGTTCTATCACCGGGAGGGCGACCATCTGTCCCAAGGAGGTGTCGGATTTATCGTCCACAAGTCTCTCATCAACAACGTTGTAAAGATTGGGAGTGTGTCGACGAGGGTCGCGTACCTGATACTCAGAATCACCAAACGGTATTCGCTTAAGGTCATACAGGTTTACGCATCAACCTCGGCACATCCCGATGAGGAGGTGGAGGAAATGTATGACCATGCATTCCTCCAAAACCCACTACACGGTGTTGATGGGAGACTTCAACGCAAAACTAGGCACAAGAGAAAACGGTGAGCTGAAGTTAGGGAAATTTGGAGTCGGGCAACGGAACCGAAGGGGCAGGGGCAGCTGGCCGACTTTTTGGAGAAAGAGGGACTCTTTATGATGAACTCTTTCTTCCAGAAGCGGCCCCACAGGAAGTGGACCTGGTCGAGCCCCGACGGTTCGACAAAAAATGAGATTGACTTCATTATGACGACCAGACGCCAACTGTTCAGTGGTGTCTCAGTGATCGCAAGGGTGAAAACTGGCAGCGGTCACCGAATGGTTAGAGGCCCACTGAACCTAAACGTTAAGTTGGAGAGCTCTTGTCTAATGAAGTCAACGCTCCGTCCCCCTCGTGCTCTAATCCAGAATCCCGAAACCTTTCAGCTCGAGTTACGTAACCGCTTTCAGTGCCAACAAGATTGCAATGCAGTGGACGATATGAATGACAAGCACGTGGAAAGTGTCCATGCGGTCGGAGCTAAGTTCTGCAAGTCCCGCCGCAGAAGAACACAAAAACTCTCCAATCACACTCTTAATATCATGACTGTTAGGCGTGAGATGAGGCTGCAATCGTCAACAGATTTGACAGCATACAGGCAACTGAACAGACAAATCTCCAAATGCATGCGGCGAGACTTACGCAACTTTAATACTGCTCGTATTAAAGAAGCGATCGAGCGGAACCAGGGCTCCAAAGTCTTTGCCAGGGATCTGTCTGCCAGTAAGAGCCAACTGTCTAAGCTGAAGACTGAGTGTGGCAGCATCGTTTACGGGACACCTGGGATTTTGAGTGAGATTGAGAGGTTCTATGGGCTGCTGTACACATCATCGTTGGAGCCACACGCAAGTGTGAGTAACGATCCAAGAGCAAGTCTTATCCGACACTATTCCGATGATATCCCGGACTTCAGTCTAAGCGAGATTAGAATGGCTCTTCAGCACCTTAAAAACGACATGGCCCCAGGCGAGGACGGAATTACAGCGAAGCTTCTGAAAGCGGGTGGAACACCGGTACTTGAAGTCCTTCAGATGCTCTTCAACTCCGTCCTCCATGGCGGCACTACTCCAGAGGCGTGGAGCAGAAGTGCGGTGGTCTTGTTCTTTAAGAATGGCGACAACGCTCTCTTGAAGAATTACAGACCGATTTCCCTTCTGAGCCGCGTCTACGTGCTGTTTTCGAGAGTCATTACGAATCGTCTCGCACACAGACTCGACGACTTCCAGCCTCCCGAGCAAGCCGGTTTCCGAAAAGGCTTCAGTACCATAGACCACATACATACCCTGCGGCAGATTGTACAGAAGACCGAAGAGTACAATCTGCCACTTCCTGGAAGATTAAAGCCTTTGATTCTGTCGAAATATGGGCGGTGCTACAGTCCCTTCAGCGGTGCCAAGTTGACTGTCGGTATATCGAAGTGCTGAAGTGTTTGTACAGTAAAGCTACGATGGCTATCCGAGTACAGAACCAGAGCTCGAAACGTATCCAACTGCAGATAGGTGTAAGATAGGGTGACGTTATTTCCCCGAAACTCTTCACCGCTGCACTGGAAGACGTTTTCAAGCTACTGTACTGGAAAGGATACGGTATTAACATCAATGGTGAGTACATCACTCACCTTCGATTTGCCGGCGATATAGTCCTTATGGCAGAATCGCTGGAGGACTTAAGCACTATGCTCAATGACCTCAATGGTGCCTCCCAACGGATAGGTCTTAAGATGAACATGGACAAAACAAAGATCATGTTTAATGTCCATGTCACACCTATGCCGGTAGTTGTTGGGAGCACTATGCTCGAAGTTGTTGACGAGTACGTTTACTAGGACAAATAGTCGGACTAGGTAAGTCCAACTTCGACCGAGAGGTCAATCGACGGATTCAACTCGGCTGGGCAGCGTTCGGGAAATTACGACACATCTTCTCGTCAGGTATACCTCAATCTCTGAAAACTAAAGTGTATAACCAGTGCGTGTTGCCAGTGATGACTTACGGATCTGAGACGTGGTCCTTCACTGCTGGCCGTATGAGGACGCTCAAGGTCGCTCAGCGAGCTATGGAGAGGGCTATGCTCGGAGTTTATCTGCGTGATAGACTCAGAAATGAGGATATTCCGCAGTAAAACCAGAGTGACCGACATAGCCCAACGGATTAGTAAGCTGAAGTGGCAATGGGCCGGCCATATAGCTCGAAGAACCGATAACAGATGGGGAAGAAAGGTTCTCGAGTGGCAGCCTCGTACCGGTAGGCGTAGTGTAGGGCGACCCCCCACTAGATGGAGTGACGACCTGTTAAGACATGCAGGAAGTCGATGGATGCAGTTGGCTCAGGACCGTGCTTTGTGGCATTCCTTGGGGGAGGCCTATGTTCAGCAGTGGACTTGTGAAGGGCTGTAATGATGATGATGATGAAAACACGATGTCATGTAATTTTCAAGAAAAAATTGTAATGTGTACGTTCTAATTAGTTACATTTCTCCGTGACACCACAATATTTTTACGAATAAGTTCATGGAAATAATTTTATAGCGTAGTAAATAATCATATCTAAGTTCTAATGAACCATTTTTAAATCCATAACGAAGTTTAGTTAAAAAAAAGTTGATTGGCGCTTACTTAGTTTTTTTTTCCGAGCGTGTCCTCGGTATAGCTATCTCATAATTTGCATATTATGAAATCATTGCATCACTTTCATTTTGACACTCCTTCAGTCGTGTGTGAGCTTCACCGACAAAGGAATAAACCACGCCTCCAAAACTACGATTCATTTTCAAGGTATGCTCCTAATTTGGCAACCCTGTTAAATTATCCCCCCCCCCCATAAAGCAATCTAGGGGAGAGTCTACTAATTAACATATTCCATGTATAGCAGTTGATTTTGTATTGGCGGTAATGGTAAAAAAAATTCCAACAGAAAACTGTTATTTGTATTTTCTATGAAAGATAAAGTAACATACGAGCAGAGCGTCCACAGTCCACGAGATGGTAAGCGGATATTGTGATCCGTACACATCCACATCTATCCTCGATCAAGAATCAAAATGCATATGCGTTCTTACCCTAAGGACTAAGATGGAATACCTCGTTAGAAGTTAAAAGGATCTCCGGTTCTCGTCACCATGTAAAACATATACAGACTCACAATCGCTTACCTAATTTGTATATGTATGTGTATAATCTCTGTGTCTGTCTCTTTTTAATGTCATCTGGTGAATAGAGATGATAGCAAGTTTAAGCATTCATTCAATTCCAATCGTTTTTTAGGATTACAATCAACAGTATATATATATATCATAGTGAAAAAATATGCATGACAAAAAAAATGCATGACTATCACGATAGTCTCGAGATAGGGCTACATAGAGTTAAATATTTATAATTAAGAGCTGTACAACCGTATTGGTACGGTGTAATAATATCCACTACTCCAAAATAACATACCATGGGTATCGTAATAAGCGGCAGAGGGAAATTGA